AAGAAAGAAAGAAAGAAAGAAAGAAAGAAAGAAAGAAAGAAAGAAAGGAAGAAAGAAAGAAAGAAAGAAAGAAAGAAGTTTTACTATTAACACACAAATCCACCTAGGAAAAATATTTGTACTTCAGTGACTACTTGAAATAAATAAAAAAAATTAAATCATAAAATCATAGAATTTCATATTGTTACATGACATATATTCAGATGCAAATGAAGTGTGCATTTAGTGGATGCATCTTTTGTATTACACTTCTGCAAAGTGCCTGAACCGAAATACCGAGGAATGGAATAACAGTCACAAAACACCAAGAAAGTCATCTATTGTATCAGGCTTCCCCACCACGGCATGAAACTCTTAGGTTTTCCAGCACAGGAATCACCTAGTTGGATCAAACTGCCTCCATCTGCTTTTGACAAAACACAGCATCAGATATTTTCAGTGAAATAGATATGAACCACAGCAATAAGCATACTCTATGTGTCATATGATATCTACTAGTTCAGCTAAAAATATTTAGCACTGTGCTGTAGGGATTTTTATTGTTGAAATAAATGGGTAAAATTACACAAATGCCGTAATAAGCTTATAACTTTAAACTTACATTATTGATTTATTCTCCAGAGAGTTGCAAAACACTTTGTAAGCCCTGTAAGAGAGATAATAAAACCACAGTGTAACTTGGTAATGAAAGGCACAGGAAAAATATAGGAGAGTTAGAGACTAGACAAAAATCCCTTATCAGTACTGTGATACAGTGCCAAAAGCAGAACACTAAGCTCCAACCTTTAAATTTTCATTTTTAACATTTGGCTACTTCATGGGAAGTCTTCCTTACACATACCTTCAATTATGTCACATCTCTCTTGCATATAAGGTCAATACAAACCATTCCAGTTCGGTTTGTGGTATTGTTAGCATGCTTCTGTTTATGCTATCTAATGATACCTTCATGAAAAGTTTAACTGCCACCATACACTAAATCAATAACATGTTGAATCTCTTGAAGATATAAATTAGAGTGTAAAGTCTCTACTCTTACTCATATGAGATCACAAGTTTGGTTGGATTGTACAAGTGGTTTTTCTTGGTTTGGGTCACACATTGCAGTCAATTCCCACACTTCACTCCTCCACCACTCACTTATTCTAACACCAGTAAGCTGATCAAGTATGAAACTGATGATCAGCACAAGACACCTAGATGGAGAACTGTGCTAGTAAGTGGTGGAATCAGCCATCATAGATGACTATATGTACCTTGGTAATGCACAATTTTTATAAAGCTATAGGCAGCAAGTTATTACACACTGTTTTTTTTAGTCCTGCTGGTTTTTAGCAGGGATATTCCTGAAGACACATTTCTGTAGACTCAAGTATTTTACTGAACCTGGACCTTAAATACAAAATAACTACAATTTATGCTAGTGTTGAAAAAGCAGCATTTTTTTCATTTAAGTTTAGGAGCTATTTTACCTGCGTAATTAATTAAAAGTTGGTGGTTTTATTCAAAACATGATTTTCTTGTGAATGTATTGAATGACAACTAGGAAAAGAGCCAAATTCTTTATTGGATCTTATGTCTTCCCAGAGGCAATATCTCTTAAGTGGTCCAAAATTATCTATTTACATATGTATCAGTAAGTGGTTTTATTTAGATTTTCTTGGCATGCCTAACAATCCAGAACAGAAATACCTCGAGTGCAGAAAGAGTGGAAAACACCAAATGAAATTATTATTCATCAGTCCAGAATCACGATACTGTCTCAGAAGTACCTATTTTGCTATTGTTAAATGAAACAGGAAAGAGTTTCAAACTTCTTTTTTCACTGTTTTCCTAGTTACCGTAGGTGTAGGGATGAGTTGCCAGTCTGTCCAACCATTCTGAGCTGCAGATAGCAAGTTGCTCACTATGGTTACTCACTATTGCTTTCCACATTCCCTTTGCCATGTGTCACTTTTTTAGGCTTTTTTATTCTGTTTCTCTAAACGGTTCTGTGCCATCCCTTTGGATTTGGGCACAAAACACACTATTGCTTTCAGAGCCCATAAGTGACATTCAGAGACCCTTCAATAATGTTAATTGTCAGTTACTTCTTTATATCTTAAAAAAACTAGCTCATTTCTGCAGCTTCCCTGTCACTGTCAGTACTTCCCTGTCAGTCCAAAGGCAAATGAAAAAAAGGGAAGTCCTCATTTTTCTGCACAATGAGTTACCATAAAACAATCAGCTAATTTGATATCTTTAGAAACATAAACCTTAAATTGTTGTAGAGATATTTGATCTTTTAAAATCAGTTTTAAATTTATAATGGGGGAATTTATGCTCTTTTTACAGAGAATTATTGTTTGGGTGGGTTGCTGTTTGTTTTGTGGGTTTTTTTTTTCAAGTTAGTCATGCAATTTTTCCTTGTGCATTGGGAAAGAATTAGGTTGCAGCTGCATTAATGGCAAAAGATAATGCCTTGAAGTAAAGTAACAGAAATATTCTAGTAATATTTCATGTGTTAGTACTCTCTCCTAACATTTCCAGAATAGTATGCATTTTGCTACCAGTCAGCATTAAAGAAACTCTGCTTTCAGTTCAGTATGAGGCAGGCTTCTAAGAATAATCACTGGCTTATGTGGCATTTAAATAATTATTCTAAATAATCAACAGTTTTTAAAAAAATACTTATAAAATGGGTTAAGATTTTTCTAAGTCAAATTTTTTCATATATATTGCAGAGATTTCTTGGAAATATTATTGGAATAAACTATCTTCCTTTGCAACACTCAGAGAACAGCACACCACAGTCAGTAACTGCATTCTCAGAGTTAGCAGTGACAAAGTTTTCAAAACGTCTGGCACTTGAGGGGCTGGCAAGAGCTTCTGGCCTCAAAAAACAAAGTGTCAGGAAGCTGATCTGAAGTTATTGCAACTCAACACTGTTTTTCCTCTGCTCAAAAAACCTATTCACAAGCTCAGAGAAGCAGTTTGCATTTTAAGCACATTTAGATGCCTCACAAAATAGACTTAGGAAAGGACTTGAAAGGAGCTCCAACCGTGAGCTTGGCAGCAGTGCTCAATTCATCCTAACGGTGACTTTATTGAACCTGTCTTACGTCTCTGTAAAGAGAAAATTGTGCCTTTCAGATGAAGTACCTTGTATAATGTATATATATATATATATATACATATACATATATATATAACAAAAAAAAAAAAAAAAAATGGGAGTAGCAAAGAAGTTGGACCAGAAATAATTATCTCTCAGGGAACAATATCTTTATGTATATTACTTTATATATAATTATTTGATAGGTAATGACAAACTGCCTAATGATTAGAGAAGTTGTCAACACCATAGATTTGCCAGGAATAGAAAGCATCTGGAGACCTATGTGGAAGTAAGTGCCACAGAACAAGATCTAAAATGAAATGTGCCAATAATGCTTACCTCACTGCATAAATTCTTGTTGCACTTCTGAAATAATCTCACATTTATGTTTTAAAAGATAGGGAAGTGATACAACTCAAGAACTACCATCCTAAAAAAGTGACTTTACAACAGGTGTGAAAACTTTAACAAGCAATGATAAGTCACTTATAGAAGGTTCTCTAAATAATATCACTCACAAGTGTATTGAAAAAAAAAGTGGTAATAATACATGAAAGACAGGAATGTACTTTGTAATTTCAGAACAACTTTATATGTCAGACTGCCAGATAAATATTTACAACACACTCCAACTTAGCTGAACTTGTATGACTTCAATCAGGGGAACTGCTTCCAGACATGAAGGTCATGAAATATGTTATCAACTTTCCAGAGCCTGCCTTCAAAATCACATTAAAAGTGGAGAGCCACACGGCTGTCTAGTGTTATGTAGACTTAGAATCACTGATAGGAGGTTTATGAAAGCCTCCCTGGAGGAGAATAAAAAAAGACAACTAAGAAAGAAGATTGTGCTACTATTACATTATTTAATAAAATGATGGAAGATTGTTCTTTACATGTGATTCTGTTAGCTATGCTCAGGAATACTGATCTGTGCCACAGCAGGCCATGTAGATGGCTGAGACTTTGAACACGGATGGTAAGAATCGCTCTGACAAGTGAGAACAAATGCACAGAAGGTCCTCTCACCAGATCTGCAGTGTCAAGTTGTCTTCTTTTAGAAGAAATGTTACTAGGGCTACATCAGAGTGGAAAGGGAAAGCATACTAATTGGAAAAGACTGTGAATAGTGCCTAGAGCCCAGCCAGTCATCATTTACAGCCACTGTCACAACTGGCAATGAATAATTACTTGAGAGATAGAAATCCTTAACAAAAAAAACGAGCAGTATGATTTCTAAGCCAAGGAATGTCACATTCCTGGGGAGATTATTATTATTGTTCTTTTATGCACAAATTTAGTTAATCCACTGCAAGAAATTATCACAGAGTTTCCTCTATTCTGTTAAACAGAAGCAAACTAATTCAGGTGTGACAAAGTATTTTAATTCAGGTATTGGGTCATACACACTAAATCCTTCAAATTGCACTTCAAAGAAATGCTTTGGTGTCCACTTCTATTTTAAAACACCACAGGAAATTTTGAGAATTCAAAAATTCCCCAGTCATGCCTTCTTCCAATTACAATGTTGGCTTTCTTTTTATTTTTTTTCTGTTTTCTAAAGCATAAGCATATTAAAATTAATATTTTCCAGTTTTTCTGTACATTAAAATAAGCTCAAAATGTTTTTTGCTTTGTTTGGACATTTTCAGAAAGAAAAGCTAAGTTAGAATGTGTAATACAATTTTTTTTTATTTTACTTTTCATTGTGAGTTTATGTTGATCTGAAAAATGCAGAGAGGAAAGGATTAGAACATCAAATGTTTTTCTTGCAACACTAGTCAATTCAATACTTCTCAGATACTGCTATGGAATACTCTTGGATACTTCTGTTACTACTGGATAGTAACGTTACTGAAAGTAAGACCATAAAACAGTAAAAAAAGTAGAATTTCCACCTTTTTTCAAATCATTCTCACACAAGGAATACCATCTACAATATTATATATATATAAATGCAAACACATATCAATGAGTCTGGATATGCTTCTGATCACATAATCTGAAGCTTGCTCATTGTGTTCTAGAACAATATGGACTGTTGCTACCAATACAGCAAATTTGTCCTTTCTCAGCACCTGCACGCACTATACATGATGGGAACAAAAAAAAAAGTAAAGGCATAATAAGAGAGTATTCCCTCATTTTGGTGTATTTTGTATCTCTAAATGGTATTGTTTATTCATTACAACCTTACAAAAATCTTTGCCAATATCCAGTTATGTGACCTGAGAAACATTAGTTGAGATTACTTACTGGTACACTGAGTGCTGGAATATCGGTCTTGAAGCACAGTGAGGTAAAAACTGATAGAAGGCAGTGCTGAGGGCTTAAATGGTTTCTTTATCAGAAGTGATACAGGATGGGTTTTACAGGTGAGTAAAGCAATCATTAATTGCATCTCTGCCTAACAAAGAATGGGTAAGGTGTACTATTTAATCAGTTGAAAGCTCTTTTCTCAGCATTCCTGCTTGGCTCTCAAATAAATGTAATTGATGTACCTTAAAGCATGCCATAGAATATAATGAAGGGAAAGAGTTGAGGTTTGGTTCTGGTTCGGTTTTTGTTTTGTTTTGTTTTTTATTTAATCTACAAGCTATGCTGTGAACATAAATTCACTTGTAGTCTAAATGCTCCCAATGGCGTTTCAGTGATTTCATCCACTACTGAAGTAGCAGCCCATCTCCAAAGATAAATGCATTTGTCATGCCATTAACCAGTCCTAAAATCAATTCAGTTCAAGTTTGCTATGGTCACATCTACACTGCACTTTTTAACTTTTTTTTTTTTTTGGTTCTATAACCTGTTTTATTTTAACACTAACTGTCAAAAGAACAAGATACTGTGAAATTTCATTGCTGTCTCTTGCTGGTGAGATAATCGATGGCACAGGCCTGTTTCTCTTATCTCTGGGGAGTGTTTAACAGCATAATGGGAGTTCCATTTTGATTTGTGACTGTTTCTTCTGGGTGGCCCAAACAAGCCATGGAAGGTGTGAATGAAAAGACAGCTACTGGTTCTATAAAGTAGAGAGTTTGTTCTGGATTCTAGATTTTTTTTAGGAGGGAAGCAGAATAGATCAAGTCAGCTCTTAGGATCAAGCTGTTGCCTGCAGATCTGTTTTGAACGAGATTCAGTCATCCAAAACCAAATCTGTCTGGGACTGGGTCATCCAAGCAATAATGCCAAAGAGGATGCACTAGAAAATGCACTTCCTCTTGTAGCCTAAACAACAGAACATTTGCACTGATAATGGAAATTGTTTGATGACATCTCACAAGTTAAAAAAAAAAAAAAAAAAAAAAAGACATTTTCCAATGTTCGGCCTCTAAAAAAAAAAAAAAGAAAAAAAATGGGATAGTCTTTCAAGCATGGCAACTGTCAGTGTTTCTTGTAATGGGATGATGTAAACAGTGCAATTAAAAGAATACCAGTTTACACAAGAGGCCTCAGTTTTCTGAAATGTTTCAGGAACAGTGTTACAGCTGAATCTTTTCAGACATAGGGAAGAAAGAGGCAACAAAACTGTTTTTTGAAATCTTCTCTGGACCTGGTAAAGTACCATCTCACATCAAAAATATATGCAATTCTGATATCATTCACTGTTTCCTATGGAAAGAAAAACATGTTAACAGATGGAGCCTCTCTTTGGTTTTTAAGGCCACTGTTCAATTAAATGCATTGCAGCTGAAGGTTTTAAGCTCCCAGATAGTTAGGAAAGTTGATGACCTACAAGAGTATGTAGAATATGCATGGTGCTGAAAAGCAAGAGAGTGAAGTTTGACTCTATTAAGATGGATTTGGAGTGATTGATAACATGTGTGAGAATGTAGATAGGGGTTTTGAACACGGAAGCAGAGGAGACAGGGAGTGTATTTTTACTCATTTCTAAAACTTATTTCTAGAGTCAGAAAAGAGAGTCGAGGTTATTCATGCTAGTCTCCATTTTCCGGAAATCAAACCCAAGTCTCTGATTTGAACAAATGCTGACCAAATCCATCAAAAGGCTCTCATTTTTGTACATGAATCACTTTTACATTGCACACCACCACTAAACAAAGGTCAACATCCATGAAGGATATTACTTTAAAACATAAAACTACATCAATGCTCCTCCGCCTTTTTACAGAACCATCCTTCCATTTTCTCTGCACAAAGATCCACCCAGAAAACTGAGGAAGCTAAGAGGCTTTGACATAAACACACATATCATCCACCTCCTAAAACTAAGTGTTGCTTAGAAATAATACTATGACTGTGCTGCTTATGTAGGAGTTAAGCCATTTTAAAATATTGGGTCTTAGTCTTCTGACCATAAATAGGACACAACATACATGTTTATCCTAAAACCAATGTTTTTAATTTATTGCAATCAGTAGACTCTCAATCGCCAATTAGTAATCAGAATTCCACAATTTAACTCACATTTTAGCTTAAAATAAACATTAGAAGCCATATAGACAAAATATAATCTACACAATCCAAATCATTCAAACTTTCACAAGCTTCTTTTCCAGACTTAATCTTTCAGTGAGGTTTCAAAAATTTTTATATAAGTTGCTACCCATTTTCTTCATTGTCTTTACTTGTCAGTAAGATGCCTTTCTCTACAAACATTTCTAAAATTCTCCATTATGTCTTGAAACACTGCAGCTAGAATGTTCTAATGCAGCAGTGACTAACATATTTCAGCACACAGTATTTATATACTCCACATTCAGGCTATTTTTCATGTCTTATTAAACTGTGAGAGCAGGTTTGGCACAAACACATAAGCAGTCCGCATTTACTAGAAGAGGGAAATTACACGCAGAAAAGTTTTTTTGCATCTTACTAACAGTTAAAATTTAGATCTTCATATTTAGAAGGCAGGACAGAGCACAGATATAAAGAGAAATCTTTCCTCTTTACTTATCATTATCTCTCACTCGCCTCTAATCAAACTTGCTAGTCTTAATTACTCTTAACATTATCCTCCAAGTCATAAGCTATCAGCAAAATAATAAGTTAGTAAATAGATTTCAGCAACTTTTTGCCTTTCAAGTCATGAAGAAGAATCTTTGGAAAATGTTCTACAACCATTTGTTCTTCCTTTGTTTAGATCACTCCTCAAGGTTTCAAGATCTTACCTACTGTTTTCTGTTTTATAATCACTGCCACACTAAAAATTTTCTGCTTTCCTTATATTTTCTGCTTTCCTTATATTAGAAACTATACACTGAAATTTGAAAAAGATTATGTCTATTTAAAGGTAAAGATATGGAAAGAAAAGAAGCAGTTTCATGAGAGCTTCTTAATTTTCATATCCAATGCAGACATCTTACATTAGTGCGCAGAGCACGTGATCAGTTTGTCTGACAAGTCATACCCTTTCAACTGGACACTGAATAACCTGAGCTTTGGGGTCATTTTGAGCATACGATCAACATTTCTGGGTGGCTTCCATATTATTTTGGGGGAGTTTAAATGTAAATCTAGCAGGAAGAAGTTCCAGATTCTACCACCTGATTTATTGGCAGACTTGAGGAAATCACTCCAACTCTTTAAACTTCAGTTTGTTCACTGAACCTTTAAAGTGCTTATCTATCATTTTCCCTGTTTTGAGGTGAATGTTTTAGGTATTGCCAGAGAGGGTGGCTTGTTATGCTCACACTTGGCACCTCACTGCTGCTGCTCTTCGTCTCTCTCTCCTTCTTACAGAACCTTCACTAACCCTTTCAGCAGGCTGAAGAAAGCTGTATACATTTCATGATAGTGGCCAGCATATATGTAATGTCCCATGATTGCTTTTAGTTCTCTGTGGTTACATTCATCATATCTGGGATGTGTTTATTTTTTTGTATTGTTTGCTTTTCCCCTTAATATCATCATCTTACAGTGAAGCTAAGCCATGTTTACATGTGAAAAATATTGTTGTTATATATGAACAAATTCTTAATTTGTTGCCATCGATCTAACACATGCAAGTAGATTTATGACAGCACTTCTTGTTTGGTCCTCATGAATTTTCTCCAAGCTGAACATTCTTTTTATGCTTTTTCATGTTTGGTTTAAGTCACATCATATTATATTAAAAACTTTTGGCTCCATTTCATAACTCTGAAGCAGAAAAACTTCATAAATTGATTTATGATCTGTACAAAGACCTCATTCAACATCTGAGCCCTAGTCTTCATTTTAGTGTGCTTACATATGAAAAAATATGCACGCATGTGCATGTGTGTACTCATGCATTTAATACATATATGTTTTTATGATGTTACTACAATGCAGCAAATGTCCAGGATCTGAAGGTTTCCAGCTGTGTTGCCCTTTAGGTCTTCAGCCAAAATACACTACTACTATATACATCAATAGCACAATGGGTAGAAACACAGTCTACAGTAACTGCCTCTTACCTCTGCTAATATATTAAAATTTCCTAGCAAAAATTATGTGTAGGACTACACTCTGAGAAAGAGATAGAGGTGGGTGAGAGAGAAGAAAGTAAGAGGAAAACTGCACAGAATTTTATCTAATGAAATCACTACAGATCTCTCTCCTGAGTCCATTTCTTATAACTGTTCCTGTCTCAAAGAGTTCAGTTGTTTGTAAATGTAATGCATCCCAATTCTCTGCACGGGGTACATTTTCTTTTCTTTTTCCTTTGCATTTTTGTTTCTGTTTGTGTTTTCACAATTTTGCAGAAAGAGAAAGAAATACAGACATTTAGGATTTGGATATTCTATTTTTCCTCCAGAAGCAGTGTCCAAGTTGAAGAGTATCCAAATGTTACTGCTTTTTTTCTGAAGTTTCTATCACTCAGTGTTTTGAAAACTGAAGGAAAATTTTCTTGTTGGAGAATTTAGAGCAGTGATATTCCTTTTCTAAATATAAATTGCTTTGTACCTTCTACCTAAGCAAAGTCACCTTTATCCTTGCCTTTCTATACTTTTTTTTCTCCTTTAGTTTTACCAGTCTCCCAAACCTCATAGTACATCAATTCTCTGCTTTCAGCTCTACAAGGTTTTATAGGAGTCGCTCACTGAAAAAGATTCTTACAGAAAGCAGGAGATAATCAAGAGCCTGTCCTAAATCTCATTTTTAATTATTTAAAGGAAAAAAAAGATCTGATAAACTCCAACTATTGCTGCAAGCATGCCTGATTGATGGCTTTGGTATCAAAATCTCAATATTAGGTTGTAACGCTCAGAACAGAACATAGAAAGATAAATCATCCTTAGGATAGACAAAACATCTTAAAGGTCTAAGAGTATAAATCACAGTTTTGGAATGAATCATTCATTTACAAGCACCATTG